GACAGCAACGCGCTTGGCTGGCAGCGCCCGTGATCGCGATAGCAACAGAGGTCAGGCAATTGTGACAGTGCCAGGTCCACATATCCGCTGCCGTCCACCCAGCGTCTCCTCTATTCATCTCGCGCACCAGCCTGTGGATTGCCTGACCGTTGCGCCCTCGTGCCGTCGTCCGAGCCTTCACGGCTACTGCCTGAGGCTGGCCTAGTTCCCGCACACCTTGCACTTGTGTTTCATCCAGGCGATCCGCTTGGCGTTGCACCTCACTCTCGACTTCTGGCTGTTCAATCGGGCACAGCCTCCTATACCAAGTCACCACCGCTCCTCCGCCGTCCGGCTGTCCACCTCGCACGCACGTCGACTCTGCGCCTGCTGCCGCATTGAGCGTCCTGCGCTACTCTCACCCTAGAGTTGGAGCTGCTTCCTCCCCCGCCCGTCGCTCCTTCTCCCGCAACCACAAACCGAACCACCGACCCACGCTACCGAGCTCGCCCGCGCCCTGCTCTCCCCATCCATGTCCACTGCCGCTGCGACTCCGAATACCTCCTCCAATGCTCTAAACCCCGCCGCCAATCCCGCCCGGCCACTGAAGATGAGCACTGCCGCCAAAGGCATCGACGCACAGCAGCGAAAGCCCGGAAGCCCCATCGACGGCGGTCAGAAGTAAGCGCCTGCCCTGCACTCCCCATAAACACGTCTCCTACACTCCTGCCCCGCGTTCCTTGCATTGCAGACACATAGAGGCATGCCTCGAGTGCTCCCGCCATGCGGGATATTCTCGTGTGACGTGCGGCTGGTCACATGGAGTCACGGTGCGACTGCCCTGTCCACTCGATGGCCCTCTCCCCGTCTACTGTGCTCAATTACCTCATGTCCCAATGCTCTGTCCTCGACAACACCCTCCCCACTTGCACCTGGCGCCATGCTGACCGGGCGACTTGCAGGAAACCTCCCGCCAAAACGGCATGGACCCAGGGCACCAATCCCATCACCCAGCGACCGACTCACTCCCCCACCCCCAACGGTGCCGTAAGCTCACCTAAGCCCCCACAAGGCTCGACGGCTGCCTCCGCCGACAACGCTTCCCCAATGAGGCACCTCAGCGACCGTATGATGTACCTGCTGGCCAATCTGACGGTAAGTGACAGCTGGCTTTCTATGCGACGTGGGCGAACAGTGCTAATGACACAAACAGGGTCTTCCGGGCATTATTACGCTGAAGAATGGCGAAAAGTACTCTGGTGTCCTCTCAGGCACCTCACTCGACCCCAGCGAGCTGCGCTATGTTTTCAAGATGGTCAAGAAGCTCCTGCCCACCAGCAACGCTCAGACCAACGGCACGAGCCAGTTGTCCGACGACTACGTTGGCTCAGGCGATTACCACGTCATGTCATTTGACATGAGCGATGTGGCAGATTTCAATGTCAACAACGTTGTCCTTGACAAGTCCCAGCTCAAGGGCCAGAATGGTGTGTACTAAAATCTACATCGCCTTTATATGCCAGGCTAACAAAAAAAGGCACCGCAGGCTTCCGCACGGATACCGACATCTCTGGCAAGCTCGAACTCCGTGAGCGCAACCTTCAGAAGTGGGAACCATCCGAGGTCGATCCCAACATGACGCTCGAGTCTACCGGCCGTTCGAACGACTGGGACCAGTTCTCCGCCAACGAGCGCCTGTTCGGTGTGAAGAGCAACTACGACGAGAACATCTACACCACCACCATCAATAAGAATGACCCACAGTATGCGGAACGGCTTGCCCGTGCTGAGAAGATCGCCCGAGAGATTGAAGGTAGCAGCGCAACCAACTCGCACGTCCGTGAAGAGCGCGGAGGATACACTGCGGCCGACGACAATGGCGATGAAGAGGACAAGTACAGTGGAGTACGACGAGACCTGACAAACCTGTCAAGCGGACAGTCCAACCGGTACACCCCACCCGCACGACGTGCCCCCGCCCCTGAGGCGACGGTGCCCGGCGCGCCGGTGGACCCTGCCATTATCTCGTCTTCCGTCGCACGGCCTGCCTCGCAGTCGACACAACGTGTTGCAAGTCCCGCGGCACCAGCACCAGCAGCAGCTGCGCCTGAACCTAGCAAAACGCAAGAATCCAGCAAAGACGCACCCAAGCCTGCATCAAAACCAGTCGATGCGCACAAGGCTATTGCGGAACAGCTGCAGAAGCCAAGTAGTACGATCAAATCTGGGGTTGCTGCCATCCCTCCTAGGAAAGCTGGACGGCCACACGACGCAACTACCAACGTCGAGCACGATCTGCTTGACTCCTTCAAGCAGTTCTCGGCCGCTGAGAAACTACGGATTTCCGATCGCCAGAGGGCTTTCGCCCGCGAGAACAAGGCTGTGAAGCTCAACGATCTTAAGAAGTTCGCGCTCAACTTCAAACTGAGCACGCCGGTACCGTCAGATCTTGTGCCCATACTCGCTAAGGACGAGACAAAGCAGCAGGCTATCGTCGACAAGGCCAACAAACAAGCGCAGGAAATGAAGACTACACCTCCGAAGGCGGCCAACACCATGGCAGACCCCAAAGCTGCCGCAAGATCTGCTGTTAAGCCAGAGTCCACCCAAGCATCTCCTAGCGCCAACGCAGAACGCCAACAAAATCAACGTGCTCGACCAGGGCAACCAGCCTATGCGTCTGCTTCTATGCGGGGTTCCCACCAGAACATGAACCAGATTCCTCCTCGCAACCAAGGACTACTCAGCACTCGTCTGCAGATGAACCACCAGCAGCATAAGCAGCAAGGTGCCATGCCATACAACGGCGTTCCTCAACCGATACCAGCTCAGGATATGCGCATACCACCTACTGGTCCTTCACAGCCCTCGAGTGGTGCTCAGACGCCTTCTTCCAGCATGTCTACAAGGTTCAACGTTCGCGCCCATGAGTTCAAGCCCAACCCAGCTGCAAACACCTTCCAGCCTGGTGGAACCCCAAGCGCTACCTCCAGTCCTAGGCCAACCTCGTCTAGGCAAGAAGTCCGCAAGCCTCCTGTTACCAACTTCTTTACTGGCCCGAAGCCCACTGTTAAATCACTGGACGGACTGACGACCTTCAATGCCATCGGACGCCTTGAGAAAGAGGCGCAGTCGAACGCGAACTCGCATCACTCCGATATTGCACCTCCTTACAAGACCCCGCCTACGTGGGATTTCCCCTCTTCGAACACGAACAAGGGATATGAGCAGCTATTTGATCATGCTCCTCCAGCTGCGCCCTTATCAGTACCACAGCATGTCATGCCCAACGGCCCCATGCCTCATCAGCATCAGTTACCACCTCACCTCCAGGGCGCCCAAGGTATGTCACAAGGACCGACAGCTCAACACACCCCACGGGGACCTCCGATACAGCCGCATATCGGTCAGGACCAACATCATTTCGGAGCCCAACACATGCAATATTCGCACTCAACGTCATCAGTTCAGCCTTCACCACGCCCGATGGCGCCATACATGTATGGCGCACAGCCCCAGCCAATGCAAGGCTACCCTCCGCAAGTTCCGCAATACGGCATGAGTCCCGGCATGCAGCATGCCACCATGCGCAACCCACAAGGTGGTCAATTCATGAACGGCCCTGGGCCGGCGATGGGGGGCCAGATGATGACGAATCAGCCTTCAAATGGGCCCTTTATGGGAATGCCAGGTAATCCACAGATGCAGATGTACTCTCCCGCTCCCGCTCCTGCGTATCCTCAGTACCCGGCTCACATGCCTCCGGGCGCCAACGGATTCCCTAGCCCCAGGCCAGGTGCACCAATGATGAGCCATCAAGGATCGCAACAAGGCCACCACCAGCAGCAACCCCCTATGATGTACATGCAGCCTGGTGCACCAGCTCCTCAGATGTACCAAATGCAGCCAGGAGCCAGTAAGTACACATTCATCGTTATTTATGCAATGGTCGACTAACATCACTCTAGTGGCTCCAATGCGAGGACCTTTCCAGCAACAATACCAAGGTGGTCACTACGGCTCACCACAACAACATCACCAGTTCCCCCAGCAACATCGTGGTACACCCAGCGGAAGTTACTCGCAGCCTATGATGCCGCAGCACTCATCGGGTCCCCAAGCTCCACCCACTGGCCCCGCTAATCATGCACCGGACGGCAACGCTGAGCCCAAATGAGAATCTTCAAACCAGGTTCACCGCAAACAAGCGGCGTCCGCAGCGTCTGCTGCCTGACCTTCATTACATGCTCTCTTTGCCTGTTTTACCAGATTTTGCTATGCGCTTAGCGTGGGTGGGTTGATTAGTCACCATGATAAGTGGCTTGAGGCATAGCGACAGGCGTTGACTGGGCATAATGGGTGCATAAAAGATCATGGTACGGACGACAACCTTGCAGGTCATGAGCATGCAATATGGGACAAGAGAGGGAGGGAATTGGACGATCGCTACGCTACACGCGATCGCAACGCGCCAGGAAGGAGCAAGTCATGAGAATCGCTTTGGCGTTTTCCGTCCTCGAGGCAGCGTTCAGGGGTGGGGTGGAAAATTACTAGCAAGCAGAGCAGGCTCATGTGAGCATATGCTGCTGAACTACTATCAATACTATAAGTTCACAAACCTCGTTCATGTGCCTGCAATGGCCCGCCACAAGAGATTGGCCGAGTCCGTGTCGCGACATTGCATCGTAAAGATAACGTAGCATATAGGATATTGTATGTTTGATCCTTGAGCTTCAGACGAAACCTTGTGTGAGCAGGCTCCTATGTAGGCGACAAGCAACACCAATTCTGGCATCTCCTAGTGCCGCTGGTACCGCCTACTCTGCAGGTGACATGGATCACCAGGCACAGATCTGGCCCACCCACTAGCGTGTCTCGAGCATTCCGCACTCCCGCGGCCATTCCGACACTACCCCAGATAACCTCCGCCAGCGCACCGTCCTGCTTCCTATCCCGAACACGCTTCCTATGTATGTGCGTGCTGTATGCCGCGCTCAGATGAAGACGTAGAACTAGACAGCATGAACGACGCTGCAGCCGAGCCCTTGATTTCCACCGACCGCCGCGTTCCGAACGATGCACGCGACCGCTACGATGAAGCCGACGACGCGAGTATAAGAGAAGACGAGGTGGATGAAGTGGACGAGAGTGCCTTGGTATCCCCAGGTCTGTTTATCTGGTGTCTGACTATATGCGCCGGGGTGTCAGGGCTACTATTTGGATATGAGTATGTCGCATTCGTGGTTGAGATCTTTTGCGCGATGCCTCATGGCATGTACAGAAAATGGGAGCAACAACACTATACTAACGCTACAACAGCACCGGTGTTATATCTTCTACCCTTATCTCCATAAACACCGATCTCTCCTCCCGTCCCCTGACCACCCTCGACAAGAGCTTGATCACGTCTTGCACTTCGTTCTTCGCACTCCTCGCCTCGCCCCTAACGGGTATCCTCGCTGATGCATACGGTCGCAAAACCGTGATTCTCGTCGCGGATATTCTCTTCATACTCGGTGCGCTGTTGCAGGCATGGACAAGCAGTGTCGGCGGCATGATCGTGGGTCGGTCCATTGTCGGCGCAGCAGTCGGAAGCGCTTCATTCGTTGTTCCGCTGTATATCTCGGAGCTCAGCCCTAGCCCTTTCCGAGGACGTCTGGTGGTCGTGAGCAGTTTGTTTATTACTGGGGGGCAGGTTGTTGCTTATATTGTTGGGTGGATGTTTTCGGAAAGATTGCATGGGTGGAGATGGATGGTGGGTTTGGGGGCTTTGCCGGCTGCTATACAGTTCGCTATGCTGTTTTTCCTGCCCGAAACACCGCGATACCTTGTAAAGGCTGGAAAGACGCAACAAGCGAAGAGGGTATTGGGGCGTGTGTACAAAAGTGAGGAAAGTGGGACGAAGTTGGTGAACGCCGTGCTGAGGCGGGTAGAGAAGGAAATTGAAGAGGAGGAGGATGCGGCTGGATTGCGAGGGACTCCTGACATGGCTAAGACCGGTTGGAGAGCTAAGAAGGAGAGGATACAAGACAGCTTCTCTCAACTGATCGTCATCGGAGGGAACCGTCGAGCCCTGATTATTGCCTGTATGCTTCAGGGTTTCCAGCAACTGTGTGGCTTTGTAAGTCTCCTCCCCCACATCCACGCAACACATTAACCCCTTCGTACCACTCGAACATATCAGAGTATGAAACTCCCACTAACACCACCCCCAGAACTCACTAATGTACTTCTCCGCCACAATATTCCGCCTCGTCGGTTTCGCCTCCCCAACCCTAACCTCGCTCTCCATCGCCATCACAAACTTCCTCTTCACACTCGTAGCCTTCCACTACATCGACCGCATCGGCCGCCGCCGTATCCTCCTCTGGTCCGTACCCATCATGATCATCGGTCTCGCACTCTGCGCCATCGCATTCCTCTTCATCGACCTCCCCACCGAGGAAGCTTCCGCTATTACAGCTACTTCCATTGCCGGCGACAACACCAATAACAAGATCTGGCCCCTAGTCATCCTCTTCTCCATGATAACATACGTCGCTGGCTACGCGATAGGCATGGGTAACGTTCCCTGGCAGCAATCTGAACTTTTCCCCTTGTCTGTAAGGTCGCTGGGCTCTGCGTTGTCGACGGCTACGAATTGGGGGTCGAATACTTTTATTGGGATTACGTTTTTGCCCATGATGAATATTTTTACTCCGGTGGGGACGTTTGCGTTGTATGCTGTGGTCTGTGTGGTTGCGGAGATTGTTATTTGGAGGATTTATCCTGAGACGGCGGGGTTGGGGTTGGAGGATGTGGGTGGGTTGTTGAAGGATGGGTTTGGGGTTAGGGATAGTGTTAGAGCGTTTGAAGAGAGGAGGAGGGGGAGGTGATTGGGGGAGGGTGAAGGATCGTATGCTGGGGTTTAGTCACCGAGCAGTGTTGTGTGTCTGTCCATGGCGTGTGATGTCAAGGACAGTGATAGCTTGGGATATGACAGCTGTTGACGTGAAGTCCGACAACGATTATCGAAGCATAAATGCCACCGCCCTCCCTGACATCTTTCTTGTTCTCTAGAATCGCACGCTCCCATTTATTCAGACAGCCATACTATACCACACCCACAACCACCCAACAATGAAGCCTACATTATTCCTCCTCACAGCCCTCGGGGCTCTGGCATCCGCCGCCCCAGTCCTCCCCTCAAGCAACCCCCCTCCTCCCCTTCCCACAGCCTTCTACCCCGACCCTGCCTCCAACTCTGGCTCCGGCCAAATGGTCGACAACACACTCCCCGACAGCGACCTCCCCGGCGGCGGCATCGCCCAAACACCCGCCAAACGCGCCCTTGCCAACGCGGTCCCTGATAAATACGACTCGTCTACGTACTACGACGCAGCCGCCGAGAAAGAAGCAGAGGAGCTGGCTCTTGTGCTAGATGCTGCGAGTGAGAATGCGGCGGAAGACGAGAGTGCCGACCCCAACCTCAACGTGAAGAGGGGAAATGGAATGCAAAGCAACAGTGTGGAGGGTTGTAAGAAGAGGGCTGAGCCGGCGGGGTGTGTGAAGTGTCAGGAGGAGTGGGATATGTACGTTTGATCCCGCTCACACTACAAGCTCTGCATTGATCGCGTTGGTATAAGTTTGAGCTCGATGCTAACGGTGTCATTCAGGCATGTATCGTGTTTGTGCGAGAAGAAAGTTGGTTTTGATGCGTGCGTGCAGAGCAAGATTAAGAACTACGTAAGCTGAAGGTTTCGGAGCGCGCCGACATGATCGAAGAGACTAACGTACTGGTAGGACGCCTGCGCAAAGAAGGAGTGCCCGTAAGCTAGGTACGGCTCTGAGTAACTGAAGAACTTCGTGAGGAGATTCGGCGGACGTGAATTGAAGATGCGTCAAGATGGTTATGCCTGTATCAATGGGCGTTAAGAGTTCGTAGTGGAAATTTCCATTTCAGATTTTTTGTTCTATCCGCTATAGCACATTGTCCAGGCGTATCGTCGCTTTTGCGTTGATGCGAAACTTTGATGACCTTGGTGACCCGTTCCCGCATCCATATTAGAAGTTACCTCATTCGCCGTAAACGCCAAAGTGTCATTAACTCATTACCCTTCCATCCCCTCGTGCCGAAACGCCAACGCTGATGCAAATGCTGGAATCCTTTTGTCCCTAATCTTCCGCACGCTAGGGCGATCGCGGTTATCATATCATGCCAATCAGTCGTGCGTAGAGTGTGAATCTCCTAGTTGCCAACGGCCGTGTCATTGAGCGCGACACAGACGGCACCACGGTGATGTCCGTTGTACTGCCTGATGATGCTCTGGCTACCAAGCTCCCACAGCCTTGCGTAGTGGTCTGAGCAGCTGGTAACGAGGTAGGCGCTATCGGCTGAGAAGGCGCAATCCCAGACCCACCTCTGATGACCATGTAGCGTAGTCTCTAGAGGGAAGGCAGCTGGGTCGCGCTCGCTAGCTGCTGGCAGGTTGTCGGTGGGCGTGACGTTGTGGGGTGCGGTAGGATCGACGGACCAGATGCGCGCTGTGTGATCGGCGGAGCAGGTGGCTAGATGACGCACATCAGGGGACAAGAGGACGCGGGTGATGTAGGTGGTATGGGCCACGAACTTGCAGATGGGGAGGATCGAGGTGGTATCGCTGCGCTGGATCATGCGCCAAACGTAGACGTTGCCCTAACATGCGATATTAGCAAATGTTTGATACTTTCATCTGGCCAGACTCACGGCGTTGTTGCCTGCGCAGACCATGCTCCCGTCGCTTGCAACCGTAACACTAGCCACGCTGACATCATCCTCTGGAATGAGCTGGTGAGAGCACTTGTTCTCTCCCAGGTCCCAGATCCTCACGTTACCACCGCGGTCGCAGCTGATGAGCTCTCCCTGGTTTGGATGGATGACGACATCGTTGACCGGAACGCCGTGAGTGTAGTTGCGCTGGACGTTGCCTGATCGCGTGTCCCAGATCTTGACCGTGCCATCTTCAGATGATGTGACAAGCCACTTGGACTCGCAGTGGAACGCGACACCGGTGATGTTGGAGGTGTGACCGTCGAAGGTAAGGATCGCGTTCGGATTCGTCGACTTGATGTCGTAAAGCTTGACCGTGTGGTGACCGGCGGCGGCGAGGTATCGCTTGTCGGGCGAGATGCAAAGGCGGTTGACTTGGGAGTCGGGGTGCGGGATAGTCCGGGAGCATATACCGGAGAGCGCTTCCCAGAATCTAGAGACGTCGGAGTCAGTACGAATGGCTGCCAATGGCGCATGAGACGCGTGCGAACCTAATGGTATGGTCGTAACCGGCTGCAATTGGATGTTAGTTGTTTGTCTGCCACATGTGGGGTAGGCAGCTCGACGTACCTGTGCATAGAATGACCGACATCTTGATTATAGGGTCTCTGTCTATTTACGAATTAGGGATGAACTTTTGTGTATACCGGAAACCCGTAGTAGTACAATCAATGCGACGGTGTTAGTATGCGCGACAACTGCAGAACATGACGCGCGCGAAGTTGCGATCACGATTGGAGAGCTTTGCGCGCTGAGGGGAGTTGGAGTTGGTCTTGTTCGGGAGTGCTTGGGCCACTTCAGCCCTATGGCGGTCAGCCTATAGCGGCTTAGCGCTATGTAAGCTCCTCATAGTGAATGGTGAATTTAGATGTCGTGACTGTGCTTGTGCGAAGGTCACGCTTGTTACGAGTGTCAGGCACATGATGTGCAAGCCATGATCTTTTGCCTTCGCATGTATCAGAGTTGAGGGCTATATCGTACAACACAAAACACAAGCTGGATATACGCAATATTAGGTGGTATTTCAAGTGCCTGTCTACATGAGACCCGGGTACGCGAAGACGCGTTGACTAGCCATACAATTCCAAGACAGCAGCCTACAACTTGCTAGCTGTATGCATAAGCGGATAACTCTTCGGTCCACTCTCCAGCGCATCTTTCGTAATCTCCCCAACGTTCTTGAACCCTCCAACGTTCATCAAGATATCCAGATCAGCTAGTAGACCGCGCATAACATGATCGACTCCCGTCTCGCCCATGATCGAAAGGCCCCAGATCCACAGACGGCCAACGAATACAAACTTTGCGCCCAGAGCGAGCGCTTTGAAGACGTCGGATGCGGAACGGACGCCAGAGTCGAACATGATGTAGATTTTGTCGCCGACAGCTGGAGAATTCGTTGGTTGTGTATCAATGAGGAAGAGCAGACATGATACGTACCATCAACAATATTCTCAAGAGAGTCAAGACTTGCGACCGCGCCGTCGACTTGTCTTCCAGCATGGTTGCTGACTACGATGCCATCGAAGCCCAGTTCAACAGCCTTCTTCGCATCGTCCACACTTTGGATGCCCTTCAGAGAAAAGGGCACCCCGCCACTGAGCTCCTTCCATAGTTTCATCGCCCACACAGCCTTCTCCCACGTATGCGCGCGTCCATGCCATACGTTATCGATCCAAAGCGCGCCCGCTTCGTTGGGCTGTGTCTTGGGGTCAATGCCCTTCTCCTTGAGCCTCTTCTGGAAGACGGGATCGGTAAGGCCCAGATCTGCACCAAGCCCGTGGTAGAAGGCGTAATTTGAGTTTGCAACATCGTCATGTCGCCATCCAAGCTGCCAAGTGTCAAGCGTTAGGATGCAGGCTGTGAAGCCGCTGTCCACAGCACGTTGGAGGAGCGATCGAGTGAGCTCGTCGTCGTGCGGCATGTAGAGCTGGAAGAACCTCACACCCTTCTCGCCGCCACCGGCAGCGGTGCCTGTGTCGCCTTGTCCTTTCCTCACGCCCTCGTCGTTGGCATGGCCTACGTCCTCTATGCTCTGTGAGCCTGCTGTCGAGAGACAGTATGGTAGCCCCAAGGCGCCTGCGGCTCTTGCTACGGGTAGCTCGCCCTCTGGGTTGTAGATCTTGTTGATACCGACAGGCGCAGATCCAATCGGTGCAGGCACTTTGTGTCCAAAGATCTCGGTCGCAGTGTCGCGCTGATTGGTATCTACCAGCATACGCGGAATAATTCGATGTCGGTAGAACGCTTGTCTGTTTACGGTATGGGTGTGCGATTGGCCGGCATTTGAAGACGCGTAGAACCAGCCACCTTGGCTGAGTTTCTCTTTTGCTAATTCTTCGAGTTTGCCCGGTTCTACATACAGTGCATCAGCCTTGCGCGACACCAAATGTCCAGTTTCTGGTTCGCTCGATTCCTACTTGCGCGACAGTGCTGTGAAGGTAAAGCATACTTACCTGTGTTGAACACTGGTACTTCGCCCTCATTGGATTTCCAAAAGTTCTTCCGCTGAAACAAGGCGTATTGCTGCGTGGTTCGGGCCTTTTGGTTGGGATTTACAGGGTCCATGATGCAAGTGGCCAGTCAGGTACAGCGTCGTCGGAGGAATAGGGAAAGGAACTCGAAAATGGATCTTGAAGGGAATGCTTGTTTTACTTTGGTCTTTTGAATCAAGAACAGGCGTTGCACATTGCTTTTAGCAGTGTACCACCGGCACTCTCGGATCCACACCATAATCGTGACGCTTGCACAGCTGTCGCAAACTATGACGAAAGGTGATGCTGCTCGGACTCGACCCTGATTTCAAGCTTATCTCCGGACTCGCGGACGGCAATGCGAACGGTAATTGCGTGTAGCATAGCTGGAACACAGACCTTGCTATCGATTGAAATACTCGACTGTAAGTCACCTTCCAAGATCGGAGTCTACATGTGTTCGTTGACAATGACTGTCAGGATGACACCAAGATTAGGTGCACGCCGGAAATCAACCTAAGAGCGGGAGAGTGGGGCATCTGAAAGCTTGTTTGCCAGCAATAAGTAGACGCATAAAGACAAGGAACTCAGCGCCATCTGATGCAACACGCATTCTACTATGCCTTAGAACGCGGCTGATAGAAGTGATGTCATCAGGGCACTGCATATGCTTCCAGTCTAGACACGGATGAAGGTCGAGATAAACACCATCTTGATAAAACCATTGTGTCATGAACAAAGTGATAGCTAGGTAAAGTGGAAGGCGAAGGCCGAGCCCGCCAGGTATCATTTCGTAAATCTGCCCGTTTGCGATCTATGAGGCTCGTTTCCATGACCCATCGTTTGATTCTACAGGAAACCAACGTACCCATCGTCGCTTGCAAAACATCCATAAGAGAGACATTGCATATCATCATGCATCGAAACTGAGCCCTTCGAGCCAAACATCATTAATCGTGGCCAAGTCAAGTGAGGACAAGCTATTTCTCGCTCGTCTTGGTTGTGCCTGCCTCAGGCTTCTTGTCGGTCTGTGACTCGGGAACGTCGGACTTCTCCGTCTGTACAGATGAGGGCGACTCAGTCACTTGGACCTTGCTCTCGTGCTGAGGGCCTGGCGTGCCTTCGCGATCCTCGCGAGACTTGGCGTTGGCGTCCTGGTTGTACTTGTTGACTTGCGAATCCAGATCCTTGTCTTCGTCCTCGTTATCGAACATCTCGCCGTCATTGTCTCCAGTCGAGACTTCGGTACCGTCGCCGAGAAGGATGATGCGACCGCCGTTGCCGTTGTTCGGCCGGAATCGACTGTCCAAGTCCATGTCGATGTCATCAGGAGAATCGTCAATGCGATGGTGAACGCCGGGACCGCGGAACTCGGCTACACAATTATATTAGAACTGAACTACTCGCTCTCTGAGGCGGACTTGGCTGGATCTTCTGACTTGCCGTACTCTGGCGGCGCACATGGACCCTCTCCATTCGCAACCCGCTTTGCGATGTCCTCGTACCACTGCTCCTTCGTCCTTCCTTGTAGGAGACCAATGACAGTCATGGTCATGTTGTCACAGCCAACACCTCCCGTGTCGCTGTTTGAAGCCAGACAATTGTCCATCATGTTCTCGCAAATGGAGGCAAGATCCTGCTTTGCGACAATTCCGCGCCTAACGAACTCGACGACGGCTTGAGAAGACTGGCAATCCCAGATACCTGTATGGAGTCAGTAAGAGCGCGCGAGCATAGTAGGTTATCGTATCTTACCATCGCAGGCGACGATCAAGAACTCGTCATCTTGGTTGATATCATGTATCTCAACATCCGGGAAGGCAGTTACTATCTGCTGCTCGGGAGGAAGGTCGGCGCTCTTCTTGAACTCGAAGTCACCTATCGCGCGCGATAGAGCCAGGTTGCCGTTGACACGGCCAAAGTCGACGAAACCACCTGCGGCTTGGATACGTGCCTTCTCAGCTAATAGATGTCAGTGCTGCTTGCCTTTGTAATTTATGTTTCTTACCCTCATTCTGGGGCTTGTGGTCGAAAGAGAGCGGCTTAGCCCTTCCCTTGACGCCTAGGACAGTACGCGAGTCACCTGCGTTGGCCTGTTGATGTGAGAATTGGCCAAGGAATGTTGTAGGGTCAACGTACGACGTAGATCTTGTCTTTGGAAAGGACGGCGACTGACGCAGTGCAGCCAGATACCTCCTCTTCGTACTTGGGATCTGTTCGCGTGAGTCAGCCACTTGTCGACTAAAGAAAGGTGCCCTGAAAAACATACCACTCAAGATGGCGCGGTCTGTAGCGAGGAAACCATCTTGTAGAGCCTTCTTGATGTCGCCCTCTTTGAAAGCCTCCTGCTTCGCGACAATCTGGTGCAGCTGCTCGCCAGCGTACAAGGCCACCTTGTCACCACCGTGTCCGTCGTATACGCCGAAGAAGGCGAGTCGCTTGTCGTTGCCAGTGGGTTTGCCTGCTTCACCTGCAAAGTCTAGTACGGTGGCATGCGCGTCCTCCATGCTGATCCGCCAGCCCTGCATCGACGACACGCCGTAGATGAGTGACTCGCCATCGCCGTTTTCGGATTTCTGTGCAAGCAGAGTATTAGCGTCGTCTTGATGTGAAGGATAATCTGCGCGGCCGTGCAGCTCAATGCAGGCGACTGTTGCCAAATAGAGCGAGGAGTAGCGCAGGTGCGGGGGCGGGGGGCCAGCATTGGGAGGCAATTACCTTGTCGACGACGGGTTCTGAGAGTGTCTGACCCATGATGTCCGGTGCCTACAGGGACCTGTGGGAGGAGACGAGGGGAAGTCTGAGGTTGATCGCGAGTCTCCCTAGGGGCATAGAATTCCAAACTGCGCTGTTGGTGTGTGGGGGGATTTCAGATGTGGCTAGGCGCAGGGGCGACTGGATAAGTGGCCGGGCGTGTGTGGTGGGCGTCGTGTAGGTCCTTAGGGAGAGGACAGGAGAAAAGAATTGCGTGCTCTAGCTCGCGGGGGTAAACAGGCCGGGTGGTGTTGTAGGCAAAGAGTGACGCTGCTCTACCTGTCAGGCTGGGCCCGTGCGGGCTAGTGGGTGTGGCTAGGTCGAGGCCAGAAGCGATGACGCCGCGCATTTTCTGCAGTCCCGTTTCCCCCACCAGCTCCGTCGTTGTGGATTGCGGCCTCCTGACTGGAATACGCGCTCACCTTGCCAATGGCTGCCTTGTCGTGCAAGTTTCCGGGCGGTGCTCTGCTAAGGCGAGGCAGCCGGCGCCTAGATGCTTGCTTACTTGTGCAAGAGCTCGCGTGCCACGCACAAAGCCGTGAGCACCCCTATCAGCGTCTCAACAGCAGCCGCCGCCTGGCCTCGATGCACTGGAGCTGATCGTCCTTTCTGACTGGGGCATAGCTCCATCACTCGATATAAGAAGTCCTCTTCGTCCAGTTGTACTTGTCCCGCATCAAGCACCCTGAATGTGTGCCGTCTACCGTCTAATCTACACAGCTGGGCTGAATCCTAAAAGATCGTGCACACTTTCAGGGTTTAGATGTAGTAGTACGGTTCGGAAAGAACTTGCTGCGCTGTACAAGAATTTGGTCCCGTGAACGCGATAGAAAGGGCAACACCTTGCTCAGCCGCGTTGCGGCGCGACAATTCCCAGGGTCCAGATTCCGTCTCGGGCTCTGAGGATGCACTACGACGGATTAGTACTACCCGACCGATTGGCACGCAAGATGTTGCTTCCTCCTACACAACACTCCCGAAACTCGCGATATACGTTCCAGCGTTGCGCGAGGCAGGAGCTATGAGCAGCCAAACCGCGGCCCTTTTCTAATGCGGCACCATGTCATGGCTGCGTATGAGCAGCTGCGTGGGTAACTGGGAACATAAGATACCTGTGCAACGTGGTCCTGAAACTCCCCATATATTATCCATGGAGAAGCTATAACTGGGACTCTTGACCTGGGCTGCCGAGGTCCTTTTGATACAGTGCGGCAACACCAAACATCTGAAATACTCTCATGGCACTGACTCAGTGTTGCTTCTGCGAGATGAGCGTACCGACGGAGCACCCCGGTACCCCGGAAACCCCAAATGTTCTTTAAATATGCACTAAAAGCCCCACGATGAGGGCGACAGCGCAAACGACAGAACTCCGTATCGCCAACTTCCTTCGCCATCTGCTCGGGGCATTGGCTTCGGCACTTTCATGAGATTATCTATCAGACGCGTATAAGCCGTCGCACGGTCCGATCGTGGTGTCATTGTCGAATATGGCTTAGCCCAAATTTGAACCTCGGCTGTCCGAGGTAGCGCAAGATCGCCATCCTACTTAATCATCATTCCAAACACACTCTCTTCCCATCATCTCCATCATCAATCTATTATCACAATGAAGCCAACACCGGACTGGGTCAAGCAGCTGAAGCCTTCGGGCATTCAAGGCCACGAATTGCTCAAGGCTGAACGCGAAAACTCCAATGTACCCGTCCAGGAGCTAGAAGTCCTCCTACACACGCAAGATGTCATCGACAGGAGGAACAAGATTCTTGACATTCTCAAGTCAGAGAAGGTCTTCGACAAGTCGCAGAACTACTTCATGGGAAGGATCGACAGATTCGAGAGGGCGCTTGCAAGGGAGAAGAGACTCAGAATCTTGAAGAAGCAACACAACTGGTCTTTTGACGAGTTCCGGACTGCTACAGAACTTGTTGGTGAACCCGGACCATACGGACTCCACGACTCTATGTTCAAGGTACGCGCCATGTTCTGTCTCCGCGCGACTTCTACTCACTATGCAGGTTACACTTGAAGGTCAGGGTACGCCGGAGCAGCAGGAAAAGTGGCTCACCAAGGCCAACAACTACGAGATCATCGGATGTTATGCTCAGACTGAGCTTGGCCATGGTTCTAACGTTCGAGGACTTGAAACAACCGCCACCTGGAACAAGGAGGACAAGACCTTCACCATCCACTCCCCACATCTGACCGCCAGCAAATGGTGGATTGGATCCCTGGGTCGCACAGCTAACCACGCCGTCGTCATGGCTCAGCTCATCATTGATGGCAAATCATACGGGCCGACTCCATTCTGTGTCCAGATCCGTGACCTGAAGACACACGAGCCGCTCGACAACATTCACATCGGAGACATCGGTCCCAAGTTCGGTTACAACACCATGGACAACGGTTTCCTTCTGTTCAATCACGTCAAGATTCCCCACATCAGCATGCTGGCTCGTTACACATTCGTTGACCCCAACACGAACAAGTTCGGACGCCGTGGCGCGCCTTCCCTTGTCTATGGAACCCTTACATGGGTTCGATCAACTATCGTCATGCAAGCTGGTAGTGTGCTCGCTCGAGGTGTTACCATCGCAACCCGTTACTGTGCCGTGCGACGGCAATTCCAGGACCGAGATGCTCCCGCTGGTGAGGCTGAGACTGCTGTTCTGAACTACACTATGGTGCAGATTCGATTGCTTCCTCTTCTCGCCGCTACCTTTGCTTTGCATTTCACCGGAAAGTCGATGATGGACATGTACCAGGAGAACCAGAAGAGGATCGCCCAGGGCAACGCCACCAATGCACCAAGCAAGCGTGGAGCTGGGCCAGAGGAGGTGCAATCAGGCAGCGATATGTTGGCAGACCTGCACGCTTCTTCATGCGCATTGAAGTCGCTTAGCAGTTCGATCGCAGCAGAGGGTCTTGAAGTCTGCCGACGAGCCTGTGGTGGTCACGGCTACTCAAGCTTCAGCGGTATTGGGCCGTGGTATTCTGACTACCTGCCCACTACCACATGGGAGGGTGACAACTACATGTTGACCCAGCAAGTTGCGCGATACGTAAGTCTATTCATCTCATGTAACTGCAATCAGTCCTTACTGACCTGTGCTCTAGATGCTCAAGTCCGCCCGTTCCGTACTCAAGGGAGAAAAGCCGACGAACGACACAACTCAGATCCTTTCTCAATTCCATGCACGCCGCGACATTGGCTGCGCATTCGACGTTATTGGCGACGACGACGACCTCGTCAACGCCTTCGCTTGGCGCGTCTCGTTCCTCACCTTCGAAGCCAGCAAGCACCGCGACGAGCAGAAGAAGCCCTGGAACGACCTGCTCGTCGACTTCTACCGCCTCAGCAAGGCCCACGCACAGTACATGGTCGTAAAGAACAACCTGTCTGCGCTCAGGAACATCGCAAAGGCAGGCAACGTAGACAAGAACATTGTCGACGTGCTGATGAAGCTATTCCGTCTCTTCGCTCTACACACACTTGAGCAGGAGGGCTCCGAGTTCTACGCTTCCGGCGCATGCAGCAAGCACCAGATTTCGCTCGCGAGGACCAACACTGTCATGAACCTGCTCAAGGAAATCCGCCCACACGCTGTCAGGCTTGTGGATGCTTGGGGCTTTGACGACTGGGTCTTGGACAGCAGTCTGGGCCGCGCAGACGGCAAGGTCTACGAGGATATGTTCTACAGGGCTAGCGAGCTCAATCCGCTTAACAATTACACCGTCGACCCATACCCGGATAGCGATGTCTTGTTCAAGCGCATTGAGAAGAGCAAGTTGTAGGGGAAGGCATGTCTTTGTATATATGTAATTGTATTTGAATAGAATAGCGAAGTTGATGTTGAAGAAGTCTGCCCATCGAAATCTTGTTTTGTTGTAACGCATGCGCGTATAGCTAGTAGGCCGAGAGGAAGCCAACGGGTAATTTGATCCGGGAAGTGGAGACACGGCATACGCTTACCCTCCATGGTGTACATAGCAACCTCATTTACTATATACCACCCCGAAACATACCTTTTCCTCTCCAGTCCGAACATATTGTCACGTTCTCCTACTCTACAATCCCACCCCAGATAATTTTAGATATCTACGCTCAGCATGGCCCCTTCAGACCCCACCACAGGCGCTGGCGTCCTCCTCGCCTTTCTCAAACCTACCCCAGCCGGAAGTAACGAAGCTCAACCGGACGACAAACTTGCCCTCTTATCCGCGGCCATAACAGGCAATGTTCTCGGTATCAAATCAGCAACACACTACAAAGCCGCAAATACCGAATACTCCAAACAGCATCTCTTCGTCTGCGAAACAGAAGACCTGGCACGTGTGAACGTAAAGCAGATGTTGAAGTTCCTTGAAAGCGAGAACATGGCTGGAGAGTGGGATGTCAGGGCGTACTCTGAAGTCCAGATCTTTGGTCCGGGGGAGAGTGGTGGTATGTCTGCACACTATACCTTGAGTAGAGACGGAGGTGGAAGGTACCATACCATGTGCTTACCTCAACCTCGTAGAACCCGCACCAACAATCATGATAGCACTCATGCAACCCTCGCCCACCGGCGCCTCGGACCTGGATGCTTGGTACCGCGAAGAGCATAACCAGCAAACGTCTGAGCAACCAGGTTGGCTGCGCACATGTCGGTATTCGCTTGTCAGGCAAGAATCGGGTTCTGAAGATGAGGAAGGGAAGGAGCAAGATTTGTCTTTCTTGGCTGTTCATGAGTTTGGGGAGGGTGAGCAGTTGGGGGAAATGGTCAAGGCTTTTGAGCCGGTTAGTGAGTGGACGATGAGGGTTATGAAGGATGCGGTGAGGATTGATGCGGCGGTTTATCGGAGGAGTTGAATGCATGGGAAGGATAGTTGAGAGTGTGGTAGTGGGTAGATTGAAGTTCATCCTTTAAGAAGGCGTCTATCCCTGGACATCTTATCCCATCGTTTTCAATATGATGTACCGGATACGTATTCGGTATTAACCCATACAGTCACATTTCCACCGAACCAACACGTCCATGTCGTCTGCTGGCTGCCGGGTGTTCGGCTCATTGTTGAAGACTGGAAGCCGTGTACGCGTGAACATCTGACGTCGATGGCGCCGTGCTCTGATGCACACCGCCCCCGAGTCCTAATCTTAGTTCGTATTGAGCAGACTTGGTTTCAGTGTAATTCGACATTCCGCAAGCAATGTCTCGACATCCCTGAGCTGGGCAGCAACATCTTCCCGGAGTGCTCGCGTCACATTTCCCCATCGCAAAGTCACCAGTTGAGCCTCATGTAGCCGCGGATAGTACCGCTTGATAAACCGGGAGTAGCCATCGGCGTTCCATGGGGGGACACAAATATAGAGACCTGGACGCAAAAGACCCATCTTCTCGATCCTGATAGCCGTGATGGATCCGCAGACTGCCGCCCCTAGATGTTGAAGCGCTGTTGGGAGGTCATAATAACATTGGAGGTCAAAGGTACGGTGTTTGTAGATGAAGTCCCTTGCTTCGTTGCGTATCGTTTGGCACGAGAATAGAAGGCTGAAGGCTCCTGAAAAGTGACGGCTGTGCACTGGAGGTTGCGAACGGCGCGAGCGCGTAGGGGATATGAATTTACTGTCGAAGGCGTAGTCGTAAACTATGAGTCGGAGTTCGGCGGGCAGGTCGAGGAAACGGAAGGGCTGCTGGACGGTCTGGACGCTAGAGCGCTGTCAGTGGAAGCATATAGCTCAGTGCGGCGAATAACTTACGTCTCTGTGCTTCTACTCCTGTCGGCGCCAGATCGATGCAGAAGGTTGCCCTGGGCGATGGCGCTTTGCGCCGTCAGGTCTGCGGGACTGGAAGTCATTTTGAGTTGTATCTATTGAGGGGCTATGTCTAGGAGAAGTAGAGCCGTTTTGCTGACGGCTAGGGTTGCGATATCGTGATAGATTTGCGCTATTTTGCGCCGGGGCCCGTGACTCCCGACAGTGGACATTCACTGAGTGATGTATGTCCCTATACGAAATGCAAGACGACGTCCGTGTTACCGGTCCAACGTTGCATTGCGGCAAGAAGTTCGGCTTCGACATCGTCGCCAATACGAGTCTTCATCCAGTGATGCTCGACTTTCGGGAGTTCAATATCTCGAATAGAAGACGCGCTATTTTCCATATAGCCGAAATCGATGAGTCCGCGGACATTATGCACCGTTGCTATACCGAATTTGACTGATCGGACACGCCCAAAGTTGGCGGGGCCCATGACCGAGGACACATTGGCAAAGCGGTTTCGTGGACAATGGCTGGTGTTGAACGAAGTGAAATCGAATCGGGCTAGGCCATATAACAGAGGCGATGACTCGTGTCGGATCTGTCGGCATACCAGCAGGAGAGCGAACACCCCTAAATCATGTCGCCTGTATATCTGCTTGCGTTTCTGCCTAGCTTGCCGAATTTGACATGCAAAGACACCGACAGTTTGTCCTGAAATTGCATACTTGTAGATTTTGTTGCGGAGCTCGGCAGGAAGACGAAGAAGCCGAGATTCGCGCTGATTTGATTGCGTTCTAGACTGTCGTTAGCTCAAATCGCTCAAGACCTTGCGTTCTTCCTTACTTGCGCTCGCGCAGCCGCTCGGAAATGCTCTGCGGTTGAGCGAGATCCATGATTAAGACCGGTTTGGATGTTCAGGTTGCGGAAGACGCCCAAATTTTAATCCCAGTACGGGTTAAGTGAGTAGGTGAAGCTGCGCACGGGCGGTGAGCGCTGCTCTCACTATCCAGGGTCCAACGCTCCGTTTGCTCGTGCAGAGGAGCTCACCTCTTACTAAATATAACCTCAAGATCATGATTTCCGAAATACAATCGCAAAGCTCTCACAGCCAAATCCGGGCTCATACTGAGTAGCCCAAATATAGAAGTCTGTTGGATATGCACCCGCTGTAGGGATGGCAACAGATGCCTATAATTAGTGGCAGAGGGGGCACCCTGTTGGAGTCCTATCGCTAAGCGTTTTGCAAGCCTCGGTTCTACTTTGATTGCTCTGATTGCTTGACAGATACCTGGTCCCAGTTCGTAGGCGGCCGCCATGCAGTTGTAGTAGAGTGTCAGGTCAAAGGTGACCAGCTCGTTGAAGGTAGGTGTCGCTTCTTCTCTGATATGTCTACAAGTCATCAGAAGAGAGATGATCTGCTGGTGTCTTGGAATTCCGTTACGTTGAAGGAGATAGGTGCCTCCAAGTAAATCAGTGGATTTTGGTTGTACATGGATAGTCTCGTTGGTAAAGGCATGCTCGTAGATCATGACTCGAATCTCGGCCGGCAGACGAAGAAATGGTGGTGTGTAAGGGGTACTCCGATCACTTTCCATCGTAAGCCTGATATCTACACAGCTTAGCACGGCTTACATACACTGTATCGATTTGACGATGGCTATGTGTAGCGAGGCTCAAGCGACCCAGACTTTCAGCTACATCGTCGATCATGATGTAGTGATCACAAAGAGAGAGAATGTTTCTCTTTGATGTTTTCTGATACAAAGTCGCGGTGACAAAGATTATTGTATGTGTGTGCTGAAAGATCAGATGGTCGAGAGAGATGGGCGGCACAGCCGGTGATAAGCTAGCGCCATCTGGTATCTCCGGCGGCGCGTCTCGAGATTTTTGGCGCGTCCAATTTTCGTCATCGCAGTTGCGCGTGACTACACAACCCTCGACTATTGCGCGCCTCTCGCTATTAAACATGGGTAATGCAAAGCGCATGAGTGAGATGTTCGCATCGTCGGCCGAAAAGGACGCCAACACCACGACAGTGACTGCGAGCCCGCCGTACTCGAGCGAAGGACCTACCCTACCCATCATTGGGGCACCTGAGGACGCACCGACAGCTGTCAAGAAGCGAAAGGCGCAAGACAAGATTAATGGCTCAGCCTCGAAGAAGCCATCGCAACCACCATCACCTCCCACAATCCACCCGTCACTCTACGAGCCATGGACACGGCTGCCTGCCGAGCTACGCAAGCTCCCGGAAACCCAGAAGCGCATGCGAGCCACACAGAACATCGTACCCGTCGTCTTCTCGAAGAATCAGAACATCAAATCCGGTATCAACAGACTGAAGACATATTTGGGCGCGTACAAAGGCCCAGCGTCTACGATTGAGATGCCGGATGCTTTGAAAGAGGACGATGCGATCATAGCCGTTTCTGCTCAGGGCGAGGGCACTACCAAGTTAGTAGGCATAGTCGATATGGTTCGGCGCATCGTAGCACCGAGTGGTGGAGAGGACGATGAACACGGGAAAGACGAGGCTTGGTGGATGTATACAATGCTCACGAGCGTCGAGGTTGACCGAGAGATCAAAACTTCAAGGCCCACGGATAAGGGCGACGCGGACGTCGAAAAGGCACAGAGCACACAGAAGAAAGATGAAATGTCAAATGAGAACAACACGATGAAGAGGAGGAAAATACCCGTGCTAACAGTTTGGATGACCAAGAAGCGGATAGCCGCGTTCAGGAATGTCTTTGGAGAGCAGACATTCGCTGTGAAGCTGCTATCACAAGACTCTGACTGAATGCCACGCGACGAAGCAATCGAAATTTTAAGAAGCCGCTTGCGCTGCGGGTATGCCATCGTCAGATCTTTGGACGACCTCGACTCGCTCGATCCAATACAACCGATTGACGGCTCTGCCCGCCTTGCCCGCCTCGCCCTCTTTGAACCGACCGCATATAGCACATACCACAGCGGGCCCGCCAGCCGCCAACATGAAGGCAGCGTCCTCTGCATCTTCTATCTGAAATCGCCGACGGTTCTTCCCCGGCTCCATCTTATCGTACAAGTTGTCCATCGCAGCATGTAAACGAGGGAGATTCAGGACTGCATCACTTCCAGAGTAGGTGTAAACCGTGTTACCCACCCATTTTCGTGGAACGGGCGTGCTCAGGGAATAATGGCCGCTCTTGAGGGCGACACTGTATGGGTTATCTGCCGAATTCGCTGCCATATCTGTAGAAGAAAGATACTTGTCAGGAAAGAATTGCGCTGCCGACAAAGCAACTTATAGGCAACGACATGCGTGTTAGCACACGCCTCATGACCTAGTCACGGCAGCTCAGCAAACTTTAAAATGGCAACTAATTGGCATCGGTTTATCAATACGATGTGTCTATCAACTTCCACTTTACGTTGGCCAAATCTTGCACCCGATGGCGACCGAGGTGTACACAGTGTCTACCGACCTCAGACCCAAAGCATTCGTCCTGATGACACTGGTTCGCCCCATGCCACCCTCCCCATTCCCCTCTCCATCCTCCTCTCTGGCAGGGTGAGCCACTCGGCGTGTGGGCACACGAGCTTCCATCAGCCAGTTTCCTCCGACTTCGGATGCTTCAACTCCGAGACTCCATGCGTGCTGCCGGCGACGTCTCAGCTGCGATAGCTACCATCATGCCGGGAACTTATAAGCTGGTAAATGGTGGGCCGGCTAGTAACGAGGAGCCGCTTTCCGATTTCGGTGTCCTGGCTGGGACGGAGATAAAGGATGGAGTACAGCACGAGAGGTTGTATTGGGTTGAGCTCGCACAATATCACGCTGGTATGTGAGATATATGGGCCACATGCATGTCTCTCGTGAAGATGTCTCGTGATCTCCAATATACCCTAAGAATACAATTCATTACTTGAAGCAAACATTATCTCAATTTCAATAAGAACACAGAATACCCCAAGCCGCCCCAATACTCAACAGGCATGCCCTCACACATCACTCCCGCAACCAACACCCCCCTCCCATATCCCCCACCACCGAAGCCTCCACGCCCGCGCATAAGCCAATACGTCCTGATGCGCACCACATGCTCCGCCTGGCCTCTCCAAATGGTTCCGCAGCATTCCTGGGTCGGCAACGCAATCCAAGTCTTTGATTGCTGGAGTAGAGCAAAAGATGCGATGAACAGAGCGGAGACCGACGCAGGTTTATGGGGCTGTACTACGCGTAGGGTGAGGGCGACGAACTCGGTGGATGGTGGGTACGAGGACTGGAGCTCGAATTCGACGGTTGGACTGGTTGAGGCATGCAATGGGACGTGGGACTTATGGTGGATTAGAGAGGTTGAGTTTGGGGGGTGATGGACGGATACACGATAAGAAGCACGGTATTTTAGGATGGACACACTGGGTAGTCGGAATAGGCATTAATTGCATTGCTTCTTTCTGAAAGCTGTGCATGGACGCTATCTATCACTTATGGTTTTATCGGGAACCACTGACTGAACACTCCCTTAGGGTCGTATATCTTCTTGAGTGTTTTCAGCTTGGGGAGACTGGACCCGTAGATAGCAGTGTTCGTCTCGTCGCCAAAGGCGAAGTTGGCGTAGCTGCGCATCTTGTGAGCACTAGTTCATTTCGATCGTGGCAGTAGACACTTACGTGGGATCATTCTTGGGATTATCGCTCCTTGTCCAAAGCGCTCTAACCTTGCTTCCAAATTCTAAGGCCTCGGTATCAAGGCCAGCGTCATCATACCACGGTATAACGATAGCCTGCGAGAACGCATCCCTCCTGAGTGCTTCATTCATTGATGCCGAGCCAACGGGTGCCGACATGGCCTTGGTCAAGTTGTAGCGCTCGATGAGGACGGCGGAGTTCGGACCTTTGGCCTGGAAGCCTTTGTAAAGCTCCCAGATCTCAGGCCACTTCTCAGCGTTCATGCCCGTGATGGTGGAGCTGTACGACGGCTTGCGACCACCGCGAGTGCAAAAGCCGATGTTGGCATCATTCCAGTGATCGTACGTAGTGATAGCGCTGGACTCAGAAATGGGGCCAATGTCGTAAAAGGGAGCGAAGGCCTCGCGTCCTGTTTCGTTTGTGCCTTTACGAAGCAACCCAGTGACGAGGATAGAGGGCTCGTTGAGTGGTTCCCCACTAGACGTCAGTACAAGGTACACTCGCTGTTGGGGCGTAAGAGGAAGATCTTCAACCGCTTGCGCAACCTGCTCGAGCTTGTCGGGTGAAAAGAAAAGGTTGTTGATGTATGCTGTGCGATCCTCTTTAGTGGCGGGCGTTGCCTTGACGGTTGCTGAAACGACGATTCCGAAATTGGGTCCTGCTCCCCGAAGTGCCCAGAACAGTTCCGGATGCGACGTGGCTGATGCGGTAAGTATTTCGCCTGATGCAATGACCACTCGCATGGAGATGATGTTGTCGACTCCGAATCCGACCTCGCCCATGAGATTGCCATAACCGCCACCGAGCATCGCACCTAGAGCGCCAACGCAGTTACAGTTTCCGGTGATGATCAATGCACCTGCTGCATTCGCTGCTGCAATCGTGTCTCCGATGCTTGCACCGCCACCGATAGTGGCGGTCTTCTTGTCTGCAGCGACAACGACTTTGTTGAGATTGGCAAGGTCGATCAGGACACCCCATTTCCCCAACTTGAAAGTCTTTCCCCATCCGATGCCGCCATTCTGTGCAAGGAACGGTATCCCAGTTTTCGTACAGTATTTGACCTTTTCGCTGGATTAGCATCGACGATCCGTTGTACCGGCAATGTGGTTGAGGCTGAACCTACTATAGTTGCTACATCCTTTTCGATTTTCACCCTGACGACCACCGATGGAAGGGGGGCGTTGTAATCACTCCAACGTGCTCGAACCTCGACGTTGACCGAAGATGGCGACGACACCAAAGTCTCCAGATCCTTGGCGACATCCGTCTGTCGTACAGCAAGTGCAGAGACCGCCGCGGCAAAAGAAACCAGTAATGATAAGACCCTCATGTTAACTGTACCAAGCGAATGGGCAACGGCCCAACGTGCTTTTTAATTGACATCAAACTTTCCCGGCTACCTGCATGGTGGCATAGAATGCCCGGACCACAAGTCGTCAGGGCGAGGGATTTGTCGTCCCGGTGGAAACTCTAGTCGACAAACGGGATGCAGCCAGCGTCCCTGCATGCTAAATCCGCGCTGGGTTAGGTATAGCCACCGAGGCGGTTATCTGCCGTACTCGTTCGCAATCGACCCAGTTACCGCGGGCGCAGCCGCATTCGGTTATATGTCCTCCGACGGCCCCGGACCCGTGCGTTACCCTAGAGCACACCAGCACATTGTCTCCACACATAACTTTCGCAAGAGTTCAGCAAGCCATGTTGAGAGCATGACGTGGGCCGTGTTCCTTTAGGCGGTTCCATCCTTGCGCACGTGGGTTGGGTTCCAGGTAGCATTGAACCACCATCGAAAGATTCGGAAGGTGACAGCGCTGCAGGAACAGGGTGTCTATGAGGTGCTGTCGGTGGTATGCAAGATATATTTCGCCGATGAACTTGGCACTCGGCAGTATTTTGCGAGAAGGATGCCAATCCAATCAAAAAAAATAATGCATATGCTACGCCAATAGCCTGGAGACCACCTTGAGCAACCAGTTCCGAGACATATACCGAGCGGAGTATCGTAGGATTCGCGGTTCAATATGCTAACACCGGCGCTTCTTGTTTGCACCGAGGTAGACGCCCTTTGTGGGAACACATTCATCCCAACGTCTGGTGAATCGTGATTTCCTTCGTGATACCGCGCTTGCCTAGCGTTGAGGCGTCTTCGGGAGGCGTAGAAGGAGCTTCAGACCGCGCCGTCAGCTCTGCGTAGTATTAGTGGAGCGCTTTACGGGACGCCATGCATTACGTACCGATCTCGTCAATCTCCTGGTATGGCTTGCGTACCAGCTTGCCGCCAAACGTTGTACTTTTCGTGGTGCCGTTTAGCGCGGATGAGCCAAAACCGTGACCTGATGATCCGTATCCGTAGCTCGAACTAGTTTGTGTTGCTTCGCGAGGGTAGAAGTAGAACCAGATGGGCCGGAGCGTGGGCAAACAGGCGCAAACAACACCCAAAGATAGTTCAATGTTGGTCCAAAAGAACACCGGTGCTGTGTAATAAATGACGTCGTCGGGATGCTTCAGGTATTCGCCGGCGATCGAGTAAGTCGCCACAACCCGTGTAATGCTGACAGCACATACTCTGTACGACTTAGCTATCTTGAACACAATGACGTAGGGGATGAAGAAAAGCTCACGCAGCTCCAAGTGAAAGCATTACAATTACAGCTAGCTTCTTCTTGGCCTCCATTCTGACACTCAGAACCATTGGGATAGGAAGAATAAGGATGACAATGTCTGCGAAGACACCCGTGTACTGGTAACATGGTCAGCCTGGAATCGAAATCCTTATGCTGAGCGAGAGACAGTAGCTTACAAGTAAGGCAAAAAACATTGGCACGGTTTCGACACAGCTATTCCCATAGTACGGTTCAATAAATACCGTTATGGGGTAACAAGTGAATAGATGCGAGAATGTGAAGCTGACGGTCCAGCATACGACATACGCAAGCACGCAGTATACCACCATGCGAAACTTTCGTACGTCAAAGATGTTCTTGTATAATACCAAAATCGACGATTTGACAAGACCTAGTCCAATGATAGAGATCATGTTCAAAGCAAACTTCGTCTAGAGAAGTTAGCAAATGCACTGCTATCAGCAGCTAGGTGTACTTACCTGCTCAAAGAATATCAATCCGGGATCGTCCATAATGGGCTGGCCTTCTTCATCCAGTGGTTGATGAGACCCCAAGTAGCCGTGTATCGCAGCTAGCAATCGGCGTAAGTTTGCAAAATGCCTTCCAATCGAAACACTTACTAGCTAACTGTAAGGAGCAACAAGCCATAGACACAGCCTATCAGCGCTCAGTCAGAGGATGCAATACACACTGAACCGCTCAAAGTTCTCTTACCAAAGCAGCAACCGTGAGAAAGTCGTCCCAACCCACGCGCTTAGCGATCCTTTTTGCCCATAAACGTAAACAAACGAAGACGAATGGCAGTACCATGAAAGCCACGGCCAGGGCGACCATCATACTTTTGGAGTAGTTGTGATACATTTTGACTGTCGCTCCAGAGTACTGTTGGTACAAAAGACTTGTGAATAGCCGGACGGTCAACAAATACTTCGCATTGATGCAGACAGGCGAAATATAAGACGCACCAAGCAACGTTGAGCTTCAGGTCCTCTCTTCTCATTTGGCCGACATATCGACAGCGTACCACATCCTAGGGACCCCATGGCTTGCTCGTCACATGTAACCTGCGACCCAACCATAACCATCCTTTGAGCTTGGCAGGTCTCCAGTAAACGCCATGTAGGTATCACAGCACCGAGGGTGCCACGCTTGGTCTGTCCCGAGACTGACTAGGATGAAGTAAGGCTGAGAGATTGCAATCACACATCTCTTGACTGTGAAAATTACCCGAAAGTCCCCAGGATTCTAACATCCCAGTGCTATGAACATTTTCGCACTGGTCGAACCAGAGTAGCTTTTGGCCTGCAGGTCGGTGCGTCCTGATACGTCAATTTTGGATATGCGGTGCCCACGGCTTCAGCTGAAATTTGTGCTCCTGGCATGCCACCATGTTGAAGACAAACTCATACACGATGGATGCCCAGCTATCAACTCCAAGGCCGTTCGAACCATCTAGCTATCCCAGTAGTAAACCGGTAAGCCGGCAAACCTGTATTGTTGTTCTCTTGAAGCTGAGAGCCGTGGGGGTGTAGCTGGGGTGTTCCAGACAGGGGTTCGCCGCTCGGGTGAACCTTTCAGGACGGCAGAAGCCGCGCCGCGAAGCCACGGGATGTGCAATGACCCGCTATTATAAGACAGCCTCGGCCAGAACCCATGCGAACTAAAGCTGCGCTGATTTCTCATCTTTCGGTCGATGCGACGTTCTACAGACGCCAGCAGTAAAGAGGTTGTATGTCCTGGAGTCTCTTACGGCTTCGTCGTCTCAGAATAGGCATCTCGCTGCATCGCGTGCACGAATTTGCTTCTGCGGCTTCGAGTCGTGGATGTGGACGGAGGCTTACTTCCGATAGTCGTGCATGCGAGTCTTATCACGTAGGATCTGGTCCAAAATCACTGACACCGAGGTGCGGCCGCAGTATAAACCCGCCTACAAGCATGAAATATTAAATGGTACCGTCTTCGACAACATGCGTGAAGGTCCTGGTGCGGCACGGGACTGATACTGAGTTTGACGTCGGCAAGCTTTTTGACAGACCGGAACGATATCTCTGCCGTGTTTGGTCAACTTCCCGTGCGCCTGTCGTGGCCCATTGACGCGTTCTGAGAAGCCAGCTCAGCCAGTCCTAGGATGATCGCACGGCGTCTGCGTGCTCGACAGGTTGTACCATCTCTCGAACGGCACTAACTTTGGCGTAAGAAGCGATGGTGACACCTGGTTGCTTCTTCGTGATCAATGGTGTATGACGCGTACTGAGGAACGGTGGAAATGTATGCGTCACCCGGTTGGCTCCAGCATCGTCGCTGACAATGTGTTTCATACATGGCTCGCAAAACCGTGGGGTTCTTGAAAATGGCAGCGGTAGGCCATCCATTTGGGTGTGGAGGAGTTGCTGAGGCTTGCAGTGTCTTTTGGGGGTTCTTAGGCAGGCCATTTGGCCGAAACAAGGTGATTTAGCGCGGGCATTACGTCATTGTAATCAATCCACGATAATCAATTGATGCCACCTAACACGACTTCCATTTGCAGACGGTTCTCAGTACACATGCGGATCGCTCTAAATCGTACATTATCCTTTTGTCCTGACGCTTAAGCCCACGAAAAGTGTTCCATGTGCAGATACACATCCCGTTTCCCATCCTTCATGCCACCGATCTGCGCACGAGCAACAGCGTTCGACACATCGCTCTGCATACTCAAGGGGCCGCATACCAGTACAGACGTACTTTCACTTCCGTACTCTGTTGCGTCGGCGATGATGGCTGGAAGGTCCGGTCGTTGCGATACATGCTTCGGGGTGAGCGCAGTCTGGATGGTGTTTGATGCGGCTTCCTCTGAGCCACGTACATCTGTCGACAACGCTTTCGTCCCTGAGCCAACACTCTCATTCGAAACTTGGGACTTCTCTTCTAGTTCACTCGGGCCTCCGATGGCACTATTATGCCCCTCCTCACCGGTGTAGTAGATGTCCACGCTCAATTCGTCACAGCGACATCCGCTCAGCTTGTTCGCTACTAGCTCCATGACGGCCTGCTCGAACCAATTTCTCGTCAGCGAATCTCTTGTCGCTAGTATCACTTTCATAGCAGCTTTCCTGTTGACATCTTCGTCGCCATCGCGGTGCGGGTCTGTTGCGCTCACTGCAGCCTGATGCTCATCCTGCCGCAGGAACGCTTCAATTAGCGGTAAAAGCCAGCCAGAACCAGATCCGCCGGCAATAGCCACAACGCTTTGGCTTGCCGCAACTCTCCTCATGTCTATGCCACTATAAGGGCCATCGAGTAACACCTTTAGGCTTGACTTAGGATGTTGCTGAGCGTGCCTCGCCAAGCGTGCTGTAAAACCTCCCTGCGGTCGAATATAGAAGACGAGTTCGTTCGTGCAAGAGCGAGTCGCTTCCGGAAGAGAGCATGCCGTAAAAGGGTGTGTTGTCATCCCGTGGACACCAAGGCCAAAGACTCTGATGAAGTAATGTTGACCTGCTTTCCAGCCACCGTTCATCGGAATCGCAATCTTGACAAAGTCGTTCGAGACTTTGCTGACCGCAGCCGTTTTGATTCCGTACTGAAAGAACATGCGCATGTGGCTATGAAGCCAACATAGTGTATAGATGACGCCTGTTGCGATGAAATAATCCCATGATGATAGCCGAAAGTCGCAGTGGAGAAAGAAGAACAAGACGAACACCAAAGCTGCGATGAAATGAGTTGCTTTGAAGAACTCATAGCTGACGTTCCGAAGGGAAGAGTTGGAAGCGAGTGTCAGCCAGGCCTGGACGCTGATCAGCTTTCCTCTGGGCATAGTCTAAATTCTATAGGGGAGATGGATTTGATCACGAACCTGCGCAATGAGAGCGACGACACCGGTCCAATAGCATACGTCCGTATGCCACTCGCTCTCCATAGTGCCTTTCCATACATTGAACACAATGAAGGGGAATGTATGTATCAATGCAAGCACAAAACATGCATAGCTGATCCATCTATGGAACAACTGCAGCTTCTCATGCGATACTCCCGTCAACATTGTAATCATATTACTTTTCGTCGATGTCGCCATGATAAAGGGTAGGCAAGCGAGCGACATCCATCCTGTTCGTGTGGCGATCGGTGGTGAGCCTCCGAATGAGATCGGAGGGTTCTTCTGGTTGGGCCAATAGTACGGTCGCGGACCGAGTGTCATACAGACGAAGAAGACTGTGCCTATCGCCCCAAGTATGAGAACGCCGAGTGGTGCGGAATTCCAGTTCAAAGGCCGGATGCGATAGGAACGGTAGGCGAGGTAGCGAAAGATGGCAAGCAGTTGTCGCACAGCCTTGATCTTCGGGGGAGGTTTTCGTAAGAGCTTCGAGGTGAGAAAAGGGATGGCGAAGAGAATGATGGTTGCCATGAAGAATGCGAGTGTTGGAAGAGCATACCTGTGGTCGGCTTCGTACCAAAATCTCCAGTACCCTTGCTGCCACTTACAAAGTGTGTCGCTTTTGAGACTGCAGGTGTACTTTCGAGAGGAATGTAGCATAACGGGTTGAGTGAGCCATGGCGTACCAGCACTGTGCATGGAATCCATCGACATCATGGTCCGAATTTTGCGTTGTTCGTTCGTAAGGTGGTAGCTTGTTCCAGTCTCAAGGTCGCCAGTCCGACAGCCGGTCAACGGTAGCAGTGTTTATCACTTCAAGGACACCCAATTGCTTTCGTCAGCTGCTATACTCGTGACCCACATGTTTATATGTTGTATAGAAGTCAGAACGCGGCAGTGGGGCCTATGAGAGGTCAGGATAGTGCACTTCCGGGTGCTCAATCGCAGATACTTGCTCATATTGCGGTATGCCACGGCAAACGCATCACCTATGAACGTGTTTCCGGCACCGGAAATAAGAGATGCAACTCGTTGCTGACTCCCGAGGCGCACCGACGTTGTTGTTGCCCGGTTAAAGGAAGGGTTGACACACGCTACTCGTATGACTGAGCAAGTTTGCGGTCGTTGTGATTGGCGAAATTGTCCAGCGCATATGAGGTGACGGGATGCTGGTAATTATGCCGCTCAGGATACGTGATGAGTTTTCAACTTCGCAAACGGTTCGTTATTTGTTTTAGTTAGACGCGCGACTCCTGTGCACCTTGAGAGTGGTGACACAAAGCTTCGCGTCAAATGTCTACATGCGGGCTGTGAATAGGAGTGGCACGAGGTACATCAAGGCCACGACACCTCTTCAAGCTCTTGTAACGCTTCCCAACTTTTCCATGAATGCCGCTTCGATAGGGGCTAGTTGAGAGCGCGTCGCAGTCATGCTCGCCATAAGGTAGATGACATTACCCAGTATGCGCGAATGAATCTGTACCTGTGATTCAGAAACATCGTGGAGTAAAGCATCGCGAAGGCCGACCGCTGCAGAAGAAGTGTAGCCTAGGTCACATTAATTAATAAGCTTGGAGGAGAAAAGATCGACATACCAGAGCCGCCTTCATCAATGAGCGATACGGCCAGCACTGAGCCCAGCGCGTTCACATACTCAACCCTCTCATGATTTGAGACGCTCCCCACGAAGGAGTCGGACCACATACTCCACACATGATTGCTACTGCCACGGCTTACCACATTCGGTTTGTTCTCGGCCAGGTTCCGCTCATGACCCAAGTTCAATTTCTCCATGATATCCAGACTTGTGTTTGCAACGTGGCACCCGACCGCATGAGCGGTATAGCTATGTCCATGCAGGAGAGCTTCCGATTTCTCGTCGCCCAAGAAAGCCTCGAAGATGGATTGGCTGGCGCTGGTAATCGAAAGCGGAAGCAAACCTCCCGTAAGCAATTTCGCATTAACGCCTATGTCCGGGTGGACATCAAGGAATGAGGCCGCAGAGAAGCGGCCCAGACGGTACAAACCAGTAAACACCTCGTCAAACATGACGGGAAGACCAGACCAAGCATTCTCGTCCTTCGGAGATTCCGTAACCCTGGAGCCGTTTGCAAAGTCGTAATGACGGACGACGCGTACTAAGCTTTGCTGGAAGAGCGGGTCCACAAACAGCATACCTCCAGCTCCGAGGACGACAGGCTCTAGTACCAGGGCACCAAACTTCTTGCCTTGTTTCTTGACCAGCTCGTCTAGTGTTTTCTCTATGTAGGCCTCGTACTGCGCCGATCTACCTCTGGTAGCGAAGTCGAATATGCCGTCTTGACTCTCAAAGTTCTGAGCTGGGCCCAATGCTTCTTCCATGCCCTTGGGCGGTTCAACTACCCATTGGCCATTCTTGAGCTTGAAGGTCGGGTAGTCAAACCAGAAGCCGCGACCGCGATACCAGTCGACTTTCTCGTTGAAGACACAAGGTTCAGAGGCATCCATGGCCCCGATTGTGTCTCCGTGGTAGCTGCCTTTGAGACCAAGGACACCAACGGACTCTTTTGCGCTATCCCAGCCATAGCGCTTGCTCGAAGCCCGCAGCGCCATCTTGATACCGACTTCTGTCGCTGTACTTCCGTTGTCTGTGTAAAACACTTTTCTCAACCGGGTCCCGCGTGGCGAGCCCGAAAGTACCTTCTCCGCTAGAGTGAGAGCTGGTTCGTGTGTGGCGCCGGCGAACATGACATGACCATAGCGTCCTGCTGCATATGCTGCTTCCAGTGCTAATCGCGGATTGCCGTGCCCGAGTCCTTGCGTCCACCATGATGCGGAGCCGTCAAACGCAGGATACAAGGTTTGGTTCTCAGGATGGGGTACCTCTTCATTGCCCTTGTGCTTGACCTGGAAGAAGTCGCCATATGCCGAATCGATGACGAGTATGTCATTCGCGTTCTTCACATGCTTATGCTGTGTGAAAGGATGCCAAATCTTGTCCTCGGTTTCATACGGCATAGATCCCAGACGGCTGAGTCGCTGGTCGTGGCGATGGATCAGCTCCTCGGCGATCGTTCCCACCGTTGTGCTGTCGCTCTCTTTACTGTAGTAATCTTGCATAATTTCCGTCTCTTCCTTGGTGCCTGGTGCAACGCCTTGGAGGTCCGGAATCCATTGTAGTTTGTAAGCTGGTATACCCATATCCATGAAATACTTCTTTAAGTAATCCGCGTTCTCATATTGACTCTTGTCGTCGAAACACACAACAGCATCGATATCATATCCTCGCATGATCAGGGATTCCGCAGCTGATATAGTAGAGGCGATGCCACCTAGCCGATGGTCGCCTACGAGCACCGCCGGAAGTCGTAGTGGTCGGAAGATATCCGCCTGTGGCGTGCCGGAAGGTCCAGGACTGAGGACTCCACCAGCTGTCTCAATTATCGAAAAGAGTCTGCCCTGATCTAATGTGCCGGCTGCTTTCTGGACCGTCTTGAACACCGTTTGGCTGATGAGCTCATCGCTGGGCTTTGCTAGTCAATCGCTGTTGGCGAAAGCATGACAATAAAGGTAGAACTCACAATATTTTTCGAACCCCTTGCCGCAACATGCGGGCTCACAGCTTTGTCGAATTTGAAGAGTGTGGAAACACGCTGGCCAGTGTACTTGTGCACATAGCTAGCGTAGAGTCAGCCCTTATATCCCAAATATCTGTCGAATCACGCAGCACCACACTGACCTATCGTCGGCTTCGTCAGCTGGGCCTGTAGATACAGGCTTCACATATTGTACTTTGTAGGGCCCGTGGCGTAACGGCGATGTCCTGCTCTTGAGGCTTGCCCTACCGAAATGTGCACCCAGGAGCGTCGAGAAAACTGTTTTGCCAACTCCCGTGTTGGCACCATAGACCTGAACAGCAATCGCGTTCTTCCACAACCCTCCTGGCACCTTCGCCATTTCTTTTTTATACTTCCAGTTAGTGGTGAGTTGATGAAGGTGCTATGGTAGATGGCCGCACCTGCATGCTGTCCAATGCGGAGAGTGCGCTAGTGGTTCCGCGTCCACACCGACGCTAAACATGCAGGTACAAATGTAATGAGTCAAGCCGCATCTCCGACGGCATCGAGGGGTCAGCTTATGCGGTCTTTTAGCTAATGAGTATGTTTTTACTTTTGACAGCTTTCGACGACGCGGATAGCCGCGGCAGACCCCACGCTTCCTTCCCGCTTTCCGCTGATCCTACCACGCCAGCCATTTGGTCAGCTCCACACCATCACTGAAGGTCACGTTATCGTGGGTCAAGAGCGTTCCTACCTATTATCACCTTCACAGAAAGATATGGGGAGCAAAACGCATTCGGCGCCGTTGCAAAACAAGTTACAAGAACTACTCGACCGCCGACGGACAAACGCAACACTCCGTAATCTGACATTACCACTTCAAAATCAGACCGACTTCTCGTCCAACGATTTTCTATCGCTATCCACTTCGCCGCAACTCAAATCGGAGTACCTTCAAGAGCTGCAAAGAATTGATGTGCCATTGGGTAGCGGCGGGTCAAGACTCCTAGATGGCAACTCGACGTACGCCGAACAACTGGAGCAAGAGATTGCCAGCTTCCATGGAGCTGCATCTGGACTACTGTTCAACAGTGGTTTTGATGCAAACGCGGGCTTCTTTGCGAGTGTGCCGCAGCCGGGAGACGTGATAGTCTATGATGAGCTTGTACATGCAAGCGTTCATGACGGCATGCGGTTATCACGAGCGGGGAAGACGATCGCTTTTGAACACAACTCCATATCTGCCCTACAGAATGCTTTGATAGCAGTTCTTGGTGAGGATGAGGGTGTGCGAGACAAGAGCTGTAATGTGTTTGTGGCATTGGAATCCATCTACAGTATGGACGGGGACGTATGCCCTTTAAAGGAGATGGTGGAGGTTGTAGAAGAAGTCTTGGGCCCTGAACGAGGATACATCGTCATGGACGAGGCACATTCTACTGGTGTATTAGGACCAGAGGGAAGGGGGTTGGTATGTGAGCTAGGCCTCGAGAAACGCATATTCGCACGGCTCCACACATTCGGAAAAGCGGTAGCGGCGAACGGAGGTACGTCTTATATCGTTCTCTCCAAGTCTGTGATGTATGCTAAGCAATTGACAGCAATCCTTCTCGGCTCACACACCTTGCGTCATTACCTCATCAACTACGCACGTCCGCTCATATATACAACATTCCTGTCCTACCCCTCGCTAGCGCTCATACGCTCTTCGTACCGGTTACTCCAGTCTGGCCAGAGCGTGAAACTACAAGCCCATCTACAGAATCTTACCCAGCATCTCTATACCAGTCTTATTTATCTCCAAAGACAATCGAAATCGGCTGGTCAAGCACTCACAATTCCAAGTGCATGCCCGAGATCGCCCATATTCGCAGTACAATTGGCAAAACCGAAAGTCCTGGCGAGCTTTCTGCAGACTCATGGGATGATGGTCCGGGCGGTGGTACCGCCAACAGTGCCGGTGGGAACTGCTAGAGTAAGGATCTGCTTACACGCTGGCAACACATCAGTGGAGGTGGATAGACTCGTAGAATTGCTTGGGAAATGGTGCGAGAGTCAGGCAGATGATCAGTCACGAAATCATGTACGAGAAGCGGGTGTGCAAGCGAAACTCTAGCTTCAATTGAGAGAATCACACGGCTCAGCATGACAGTGCTTTACTGCGTGGTAACTCTGTGATAATCATTTTACATAGACCACCTCTACCCTCAAGCAAGCGCCTGAACCGTAGCCTCCGCCTCCGCAGCCGCAACAACCGCTTCAGCTTCATCCTGCCCAGGAAGCTTGCGCTGCTCTCCAATCGTCTCCTCCATCTTCATAGGCCTCAGTCCCCACCTGCCAAACATAGCCTTATCCTCTTCCCACCCGTTGCAAGCAGTCGTCAACATCTTCTCACCCGTAAAGACAGCATTAGCGCCCGCTTGGAAACACATAATCTGCTTTTCCTCGCGCATTGTGTGGCGGCCAGCCGCGAGACGGATGATGGTGGTCGGCATGACGAGTCGCGCGGTAGCGATGGTACGGAGGATGGCGTCGAAGGATATGGCTTGTGTTTCGCCGAGGGGTGTGCCTTTGATTGGGACTAGGGCGTTGACGGGGAAGCTCTCGGGATGGGCTGGTAGTGTTGCGACGGTGTGGATGAGACCGACGTGGTCGCGAGCCTTCTCGCCTAAACCAAGGATACCGCCGGTGCATACGTGTATGCCGGCTTCTTGGACGTTCTTGATGGTGGCGAGTCGCTCGTCGTACGTGCGTGTGGTGATGACGCTGGGGTAGTGCTCCCGGCTGGTATCAACGTTGTGGTTGTATGCAGTCAATCCAGCGTCTTTGAGCTCTTTTGCTTGCGCGGCATCAACCATACCTGTTATGTAGGAACATGAAGTCAGTGTGTGTCTCACATGCAGTTCGCAAACTCGATTCTTACCCAAAGTAACACATGCCTCCATACCCATGCCGCGCACCCCCTTTATCATCTCCTTGATGTTCTTGAGATTGGTCTTGCGGCCTCGCATGTCTCTCCAGGCAGCTCCCATGCAGAATCTTGAGCTTCCATTCTCTTTTGCGACCCGTGCAGCTTCCAGGACTGAGTCAACTGAGGACAGTTTCGTAGCCTTCAATCCTGTGTCGTAACGCGATGACTGCGCACAGTAGGAGCAATCCTCGCTGCAGCCTCCAGTCTTGATGTTGAACAGTGTGCACATCTGTATGGCGGCGGGGTCATGGAAGCGCCGGTGCACCGAAGCCTACAACGGGATTGATGAGACATTGTCCGTCCAAATAGTGATAGAGCTGTGTGACATACCGCTGCATGTGTAAGGTCTATCAGCGAAGTATTGTAGACTTCAGTAATCTCCTCCTTCGTCCAGCTGGTCCTGGGCGCACTTGCATTGAGCGCATTCTCAAAGACCGAGCCTGTCCGCGCTGGTGAGCGTAATTGTTGAGTTCCAGGGTCGACAGGGGTATCGAGAACGGTGCTGAAGGAGCGGGTGATCTGCAGGGAGCGAGGCGCGAGCGACAAGCCCCGGCCTGTTCGAAGGAGCACTCTTTGAGCCATTGCGAAAGGTCAATTGAAGCTCGATACGAGTCGTCGAAATCACGTACAGTCAACAGGTGCCTCAAACTAGCTGCCCGCTCACGGCTTACGGGAGACGGCTCTAGGGCTCCAGGAACGCGTCGGCCTGCGTTTGTAGATCAGCGTGGGACTTCCGCCAATCAGATTCGAGGCGATGACCGCGGGGTTCCGTGGCGTCTTTACATTATCTAACTTCCTTAGACCGAGCGGTCCAGCCAAAAACGCCGAGGTAGTTATATACCTCAATGGCTAGTATCGCTGATGTCGACATCGAGTGGAGACTTTTGAGTTTGTCGATGTTGCAAGGTTGCAATTGTCTCTCCGAGGGCCTACCCCAAACCACACCTCCAACTCCAGTCTGCCGCATCATCTCCCCAAGACCGTCTGTTTGATATGGTTCAGCGCACTCCCCGCTCTCAGCCACTTCAATTGACCGTTGCTGTAACTATGGTTGAGCGGCGCGATCCACTCTCCTGCATTATTCGCGCGCACCACACGCATGCTAGCCTGCCTTCCCGGCCGTAGCTCGCCGTCTTCAACACCTTGTAGCGTAATGCGATCGCCCAACTGGATACGATCGTAGTCCTGGGCATTCGCAAAAGTCAGAGGCAGCATGCCCTGCTTCTTCAGATTGGTTTCGTGTATCCTAGCAAAAGAGCGCGCTATGATCGCGACGCCACCGAGGAAACGCGGTTCTAGCGCTGCATGCTCACGCGATGACCCTTCTCCGTAGTTGAAGTCCCCGACAATACACCAGTTTACACCTTGGTCGCGCAAGTCTCGGGCGACTTCATGCACAAGTCCGATTTCGCTGGTTAGCGGGTGGATCGTGTGGCCGAGCAATTTGGAGTCGGAACTTAGGAAGGCGTTCGAAGCTGCAAGAAGCATGTTGTTGCTGATGTTCTCAAGATGGCCACGGAATTTGTACCACGGGCCTGCGGGACTAATATGATCGGTCGTGCACTTTCCTTGGACTTTGACGAGAATCGGCATGTCTTTCGTCGAACCGGGAGACCAGGGTTTGAAGGGCTCAAGTAGTTGCAGACGCTCAGACTGTGGATCAATGTCGACTGCCACATCGTCGGCGTCATGAACTGGAGCTTGGTAGAAATCTTCGCCCACAACGAACTGCATGGGCAACTCGACGTTCTTTGGTGCTGTAAATTGGAACCCCTGCGCTGACCCTTCGATTTGAAGAGAGTCGATGACAGGATTGAAATCCAACCTTCCAGAGTAGGCAAAAGCCGTCACCATCTCTGGAGAAGTCACGAATGAACAGGTCTCTGGGTTGCCGTCGTGCCGACCAACGAAGTTGCGATTGAAACTGGAAATTACTGTATTTCTCTCGCGGCCTTTGACATCAACGTCTGTACGCTGCCATTGCCCTACGCAAGGGCCACAAGTTGTGCTCAGCACAACAGCACCTGCCTCGCGCAATGTTTGCAGTATACCCTCCGACTCTGCAGTCGCGCGTATATCTTCGCTGCCTGGTGAGACCAGGAATGGTGTCTTCGCTTTCGGCAAACCAGCAGCCTTGGCCTGCTCGACAAGCTGCGACGTTTTGTATAGGTCTTCGTATGAGCTGTTGGTGCAGCTGCCCACCATGGCATGACTGATTTCAACAGGCCAGTCGTTCTTTGCTACAGCATCCTTCAGTTCTGAAAGAGGATGCGAAAGATCCGGAGTAAAGGGACCGTTGATATGTGGCTCTAAAGAGTCTAGGTCAATTTCGATAACCGTATCATAATGCTTCTCGGAGCCTTCATCTGCGGTCAGCAGGATATCCTTATAGCCGTTTGCGAGGCGCGCAACATCCGCACGCTTCGTCGCCGAGAGATATCGATTCATGGCCTCGGAGTAGGGAAAGATACAGGAGGTCGATCCAATTTCAGCTGACATGTTGCAGACTGTGGCCATGGCCGTCGCACCCAACGTCTGCGTACCTGGGCCAAAGAACTCAATCACCTTGCCCTTTCCGCCTGAAACAGACAGTATACCGGCGAGTTTGCAGATGATATCTTTTGTCGAGGCCCATCCATGCAGGCTACCGGTAAGTCGGACACCTACGATCTGTGGGCACATGAGCTCCCAGGGCATACCAGCCATCGCATCGACTGCATCAGAACCTCCAACTCCAATACCAAGCATTCCCATGCCGCCGGCGTTGGGCGTATGCGAGTCCGTCCCGATGATCAGGCCTCCGGGAAACGCATAATTCTCGAAGATGGTGGTGTGGATGATGCCGGCGCCCGGTTTCCACCAGCCGATTCCGTACTTCTTCGCTGCGCTACTAAGGAACGCGTAGACTTCGCGATGCTCTTTTCTTCCACGGACAAGATCCTCTTCGGCGCCGTCGCGCGATACAATGAGGTGATCGCTGTGCACTGTTGTGGGGATCTGGACTTTCGGGAGGCCTGCGCTGATGAATTGCAGCAATGCCATTGTCGCCGTCGCATCATGACATGCGACTCTATCTGGGCGGAGATGCAACAGGGTTTCTCCACGCCTGATCTCATCTAGAGACCAGTGGTGCTCGTCTGAAGTGTAAAGGTGACTATACAGCACTTTTTCTGTCAGGGTAAGGGGGCGCCGCGAGCCATGTCTAACAGACTTGAGCTGCAAGACCTGTCGGTCGTAGTCGAGCGGTACGCCTGCATCGAGAGGACTGATCGACACCCGCGGTGCAAGCGAAGCCAGACCCCTCGCATGGAAACTACTACATCGGTGTAGAGGGTACCTTCGCGCTGCAAGTTTAGTAGTAAGCATGACTTGACGATGGCTCGAACAGCACAGGAAAAACGACACAAGTCATGTTTGCGACGTTGTGAGAAAAGGCAGATCGGAAACACGTTCCTTATCCGTAGCCGGTCGGCTTTTGAACATAGCGCTAGAATCTCGGAATATCTTTTGAAGCCGAGCAGAACAGTGCCGAGGGGACTATAGACAATGAGGAGTATGAACAACCACAAACAAAAGGGCAATTGACCAAATGCGAGGGCATGGAGCCTGCACTTCCACACGAAGGACTCGTCGTAGTCTTCAGCATGCATAGTATGTGTGACGGAAGCTGATTAGTCTGCCTTTTCTCGAATTTGGCGCATGGCCGAACTTGGGCATCAATGGCGACATAAAGCAGATGCGACATGTCTATTCCACATAGTAAGGACATCACGAAGGTGTTCGCGTCGTCGCGTTGGTGTCGCGTTCCAACGCAGGAGCCAACAGCCTACAGTAGATGCCTGCTCAACCCTGCAAGTTCTAGAACACGATGACGTAGCGTCCCGTCCCTCCCCCAAACTTCCTTCTACACCTTCACACCCACCCCAGCAACCACACCACCAACAATCTCTCCAACCTCACCTCTCACTCAACAATGTTCTCCCCCTCCATCTACACAGTCAGC